CATCTTGTCATGTGATTATTGACCATTTATATACCTTCTTTGGAGGAATAGCTATTCAAGCCATTTGCCCATTTTAAAAATTGGGTTTTGTTGTTGCCTGTGCTTTTACTGTCATATCCAATGAATCACTGCCAAATCCAATGTCATGAAGGTTTCCCAATTTTCTTGTAAGAGCTTTATATTTGTAGCTCTCATGTTTAGGTCTTTGATTCATTTTGTTGTTGTTGTTAATTTTTGTATATAGCATATTGTAAGGGTCCAACTTCATTCTTTTACACGTGACTATGCAGTCTTCCCAATTCTATTTGTTGAGAAGATTGTCCTTTCCTCATTGGATAGTTTTAACACCCTTGCCAAAAATAATTTCATCATGTATGGGAGGGTTTATTTCTAGGCTCTCTATTCTATTTCATTGGTCTTTGTGTATTGACCTGAAGGAAGAAAGTGGGAAAAATTAATAATGTAGAGAGTTTATTTGGGCCAAGGTTGAGGACTGGAATTTGGGAACCACTGGGAAGTGCTTCAGAGAGCAAAGGAGAGACTCAGGTCTTTAAAAGAAAAAAAAAAAAAAGGATGAATCAAAGGAGAAAGCAACTTACAAAAGCTGTGTTTCAGGAATTCTCATTGGTTTACAGAAATTGGCTATACATTGTTGAACTACAGGGTATGAGCTAGGGTGTCCAGCATACAGCATTGTTAGCTTAATTTATGGCTACTTGGTGCTGACAGTCTAGAGTCCCAATAGCAGGCAACTTTTAAATAATGAGTTAGGTCAAGGATGGAATAAAAGGTGACTACTCTCACATTCCAATCCCTATTTGAGCCTGATAATTTAAACAAGGTTAACATTCCTCAGATTAAAATTTCTTATCTTCCTCAAGTGTCTGTCTTTATGCCAGTATCACACTATTTTGATTACAGTGGCTTTGCATTACGTTGTTGTTGTTTTTTTTTCCAAAGACTGGGGTCTCACTCTGTTGACCAGGCTGTTCTCAAACTCCCAGCCTCAAGGGATCCTCCTACCTCAGCCTCCTGAGTACCCTGGACTATAGGTATGCATCACCATGACTGGCTATATAGTATGTTTTGAAATCAGCAGTGTGAGACCTCCAACTTTATTGCTTCTCAAGATTGGTTTGGCTATTTGAGATCCCTTTAAGTTCCGTATGAATTTTAGAATTAGTTTTTCTATTTAAGCAAAAATTGTCATTGGAATTTTGATAGGGACTGCAAAGAATCTGTAGATTTCTTTGGGTACTTTGAACATAGGATGTCTTCCCATCTATATGTGCCTTCTTTCATGTTTTTCAGCAATCTTTTGTAGTTTTCAGGGAACAAGTCATTAATTTACTTGGTTAAGTTTATTGCTAAGTATTTTAATCTTTTTGATTGTATTGCAAATGAAATTGTTTGCTTCATTTCCTTTTTAGATTGTTCATTGTCAGTATATAGAAATGTAACTGATTTTTAGGTGTTGATTTTGTATCCTGCAACTCTGCTGAATTCACTTATTAGTTCGTGTGTGTGTGTGTGTGTGTGTGTATAATCTTAAGGGTTTTCTGCATGTAAGATTATGTCCTCTGCAAATAGAGATAATTTTACTTCCTCCTTTCCAATTTGGATGCCTTTTATTTCTTTTATTTGCTAAACTGATCTGCCTAGGACTTTAAATATTATGTTGAAGTGGTGAAAGCAGGCATTCTCATATGGTTTCTCCTAGAGAAAAAGCTTTCAGTGTTTCACCATTATGATGTTTACTGTAGGTTATTTTTTTTTAATATGGACTTTACTATATGAGGTAGTCTTCTTCTATTCCTTGTTTGTTGAGTGTATCATAAAGGTGTTGAATTTTGTCAGCTTCGTCTGCATCAGTTGAGTTAATCATACTTTCTTCCTTTATTCTGTTACTGTGATGTATTACCTTGATTTATTTTTGTATGTGGAACCATTCTGAATTTCAAAAATAACTCTTACTTGAACATGCTGTATAATTATTTTAAATTGCTATAGGATTGTGTTTTCTAGCATTTTGTTGATGGGGGATATTGGTCTGTAGTTTTCTTGTAGTGTCTTTATCTGGTGTGGTATCAGTTTAATGCTGGCTTCATAAAATGAATTTGGAATTGTTCCTCCTTTGTAATATTTTGTAGGAGTTTAATAAAGTTGGTGTTACTTCGTTTTATGGAATTCACCAGTGAAGCCACCTGGTCATGGGCTATTTTCGAGGGGAGGCATTTGATTACTGATTTAATCTTACTAGTCATAGTTCTATTCAGATTTTCTACTTTTTCACAATTCATCAGAAGGCTATGTGTTTCTAGGATTTTGTCTATTTATAGGTTATTCCAGTTTGTGATGTACAATTATTCTTAGCAGTTTCTTCTAATCCTGTTTATTTTTGAAATTACAGCAGTAACATGCCCTCTTTTATATCTGATTTTAGTTAATTTGGGGATTATAGGTTTTTAAAAAGAATATTACAATTTGAAGTGACTTTCTCGTAACATCATACCAAGTGGTACATAATATTCACATAACATCACTCACTGGTGCTATTATCCTCTAGGCAGTGCATCTTAGGCAGGTGAGAAGCCCATCAGGAGACATTCAGCAGTGGCTGTAGACATGTTGGCTGAGTGTCCTAACTGGGGTAGGGTTGCTACTGGTATCTAGTGGATAGATGCCAGAGATAGTATCAAATATCCAATAACTCCACAGGACAGCTCCCCACAGCAAAGAATTATGTGACCCAAAATGTAAATAGTGCTAAGGTTGGTAAGCCCTGCCTTAAGGTAGTTCTTGTCAATTTTCTTCACTGTAGTTAGTTTTTCCTTTTCCATATATATATATATATATATATATATTTTTTTTTTTTTTTTTTTTTGGCGGGGCGGGGGAAGTAAGTCAACAGGTCCAGCTTCCTCTGGAGAGGAGAGAATCTAAATATACAATTTGGCATTTTTCCATAAGGAAGAGTTGTCTCTTCTCTCATACCTGTTTATCAGTATGGATGCATGTATACTTATTTGGCCTTGGGAACCAAAGGCCTTTCAGTTAGCTCCTATGTTCCTTTGACATGCCCCTATCCTTTTGTTTTTTGAGCTCTTACCTACTTTCTTTACTACTAGATGCTCTAGGCTCATCATGCATTTTCCCTGCCCTAGCCCTAGAACCAGCCATTTCTCAAAGGAGTCCTGGTTCCTTCTATTTGGAGAATATTTAGAAACCAAGGTCTGGTTATGCTCATTGATACTAGGGTGTCACTGCTTCTAGATCCTCTCCAAGAGCTAGGTAGTGTATGTATATATACTAACATATGTATAGATCTATGTTCTATAATTGTTTCTGCATATGCATCTGTGTGTGTACATAAAATGTATATATAAGTTCTTATTGATGTCTCTGACTCTAATGGCTTTGGAAATTTTTGACTGATCACACTGTGCATGAAAAATTGCAGAATCTGAATAGCCATCCTCCAGAGAGAATTCACCCTTTCCTCTTTTCTAGCTGGCAGCTAGATTAGGGGAAGATAACTTACTTCACTAAAAGGCTGACCTTACTTGACATTGCATTCAGTCTTTTTAAGACTTCGTCACACAGGTTTTATCCTCTCTTGGGGTGTAGCCATATAATGTTTACATTGAGAATGTGGAGTGTTTACAAGGACACCACCTACTTGGCACAATTTATACTCTAATTTTTCCTCCCTAGTATGAGTTGGCTGAGTTTCATTTAACCTTCCAGCATTCTTTGAATAGATTTCTTGGCCCTTTGCCCTGTCAGTTCAAGAATCAGCAAATGCCTGGAGGAATCAACTGGCATAAAGTGTCAGGCCCAAATCTCATAAAGTGTCAGTTTTTCAAATTTTGCAATTTTGCAACTCATTTCTAAGACCTAGTAAGCAACTAGATTTGGAAAACTTAAGGTCAGGAGTGTAGGTTGATTACCAGTTATTTTACATGGATGACAGTATTTAGTAGTGTAATTCATAAAGATAGGGAATTCAGGAGGAAGAAATCATGGATGTGTGTGTTAAGTTCATGAATCGGAGTTTACCTGTAGGACAGTGAATAGAGAACTTTGTAGTAAGCTCTTAAAATGTATTCTCACGAGAGATAGCTAAACTTCAGAAATAGATTTAGAAACCTTCCTATTTTTTCTTGCTTTTTAAATTCTCCAAAGAACAGATAATACATTTTACCTTTCTCTTACCTACTTCTCAACCAATCATCATGTCAATAACTTCTAACTTTTCTACTTCTGGACCTCACAATTTTATTTCTAGACTTTAAAAATGGGTTTCCTTTCTGCTGTTTCTCTCCCCTTTTTAATCTGAGACTCTTTTTAAAGCAGGAAGATCATTCAAAGACTGTAATGACTTTTCATTACTTTGAGAATAAAATGCAGAAACATGAAATCTAGTCCAACCACACCAAGTACTTTTGTTTTAGAGATGAGCTACGGCCGAGAAAATTAAAGCGCATGCTTGTTTAGCATCACAATTTTAAAGTCTTTTTCTCACTTGATTTTCATTTCTCCCTTATTATTACCCTTTGAAATAAACATTTTCATAATGCATAATTTCTGTGAGCTTCTTGAGGGCAGAGGCCCTTCCGCTACCCCTCTTTAGCACGTCCCAGTACAGTGCCTGACACTGAATATTTATTGAATAAATGATAACCACCATACTCCACATTTCTTACGCTTCCTTCTGTGCCTTTGTTGATTATTCCCTCCCTGCCTTTATGCCTCTATTCTCATCCTTCAAAGCTCAAATTTCAGGAGTTCCACAAGCTTTCTTTTTGTTTCTAATCAGAATTGAACCCTGACTTCTCTGAGCTCTTACAAGCATGTCCTACCTTTATGATTATGTCAAGCCATGTGTTTTCTTTTAAATTATTTTAATAGAGTCTCTTGAGAGCAGTAACACGTTGGTAAACTTTCGGCAGAAGTGCATTCCTAAATAAGTAAACCCAAGGCAACAGCTGACAAAAAGGTAAAGAAAGAAGTAGCTTTATTTTAAAACAGCATCCTTTGGTATCTCTGGAGGACTAGTTGGTTCCAGGAACCCTCACGGATACCAAAATCCTTGGATGCTCATGTCACTTTTATAAAATGGCATCATATTTGCATATAACCCATAGATTCTCCCAAATACTTTAAATCACCTCTAAATTATTTATAATACCTACAATGTAAATGCTGTCCAAATAGTTGTTATACAGTATTGGTTTTTAATTTGTATTTTTTATTGTTAGATTATTATTTTTTATTTTTTTCTTGAATATTTTTGATAGATGGTCTGAATTTGCAGAGGCAGAATGTGTAGACAGGGCCAACCATAAACGCCAAAAAAATCAACTCTGAAAAATAACTTTAGCAATGTGAGTTATTCTTAAATACAAATGGGGACTGAACATACATGCATCAAATTGTACTCTCATACACTGACATAAGTATACCTCCAAACAAGTTAATACAAAGGTAAATACATAAATATATACAAATAAATACACATACCCAAATAACAAGCCATACAGCACCTACCATTTTCCAAGACCAAAATTTTCATATAAACATACTGGCAAATGCAGCAAAATATCATTGGAAATTAATATGTTTACATATATAGACATATATAAATACCAGAATTCAAAGTGACATGTAGCATACATTTTAGTCTCTATCACTATAGAATATACACTTTATTGGAAGAGATAGTATATTCTTCTTATGTACTACAAAACCTCCCAAAATGCCTTGCCTTAGCATCACACTCCTAAGAAAATAATAGAATTTAACAATGTCTACTTAATTAAATATTAATTGGACAATTATGGGGGACAAAGTAAACAATGTTGTAGTATTATTTAGTAGCAGAACTTATCAGAAAGACAATTTGAATTTAGTTTTTCAAACTATTTCTATTTTTCACTCGAAAACTTTGCAAGTATGTTGCCTGTTTTCAGTATGTATGCCAGAAATAAAAATGTCTGATGTTGCCACTTGAAAAAATATCAAAGTCTTTTTATTTTAAAACAGAATATACTATACAAATTAATCATGTAGGTACTATAGCTATTGTGTAGGAAAAACTTATTGTTTTCTCTATAGTCACAACATTTCTGACACCACATGTGTATGAGGTTCCCCCATACCAAGCCATTCTCCAATTTTCTGTGGACATCCACTAAGTGCCCATAATTAAATTTTGACACTATCTACCTGGAATCAGATCAGCATAGATGCTTCAGGTTAAGGGCTCAGTTCCACAACTGATACCAATTTTGTCAGTTTCGGACATCAATCTGCATTTCAGACAACAATCACATGTTCATATTTTCACTGGTGCTTCTGACCAACTGGCTATAATATAATCCAAGGTTCCTACAATCCCCTCTTTGAGTGTGAGCATTGTGAAAAAAGGCTGATGCATGTGACCTGTTTATCTGGCACAGGATGGGAGTGAATGGAAGACCATGCTCCATGCTCAAAGGAGCATGGAGCAAGGAGCAAGGAAGACCTCTTTGAAGCACCAGAATGTGGTCAGACTTGCTGGCTCCAGCTGCAGCCTTTCCCCCATCTGTTTGCTGATTCTATCTAAGTAGAGTAAGCTTTATACCTTCAAAGGCAATGCCAAACTGCTACAGCTATAGATCACCTGCTTGATGCTTCGCTTCCTTTTCACCCCCCACATCCCTGAGCACATGCTTCTTTGGTTAAACACTCAATAGTGTGGGTCACCAGTGCTCGGGGCCTTTGCATCATCCTACTCGTGTCTGCCCCCTGGGACCCAACTTTATGCACTCTTACTCTTGTCTCTTAATTTGTCTCTGCCGACCCTCATTACTTCCTAGGTTGTGTCTGGGCTGGTCCCAACATTAGCTAGAATGGCTCATAGAATGTAGGAAAAGTTTATTTACTGGATCTTTGTAAAAGAACACAACAAAGGATCAGTCAGAAGAAAGAGATGCATAAGGCAAGGTGTGTGGGAAGAACACTGAGCTTCCTTCCATGCCCTCCTATGTATGTCACCCTCCTAGTACCTCCACTGGAAGTTCCCTAAATCCTGTCCTTTAGGTTTTTATGAAGGCTACATCATGTAGGCATAAATGATTAAATCACTGGCCAATGGTGACTAAATTCAGTCTCCAGCCTCTCTCCACCTAGAGGGCAGGTAGGGTGGAGTTGATCTGAAAGTTCCAACCCTCTAATTACATGGCTGGTTCCCATGGCAACTGACCCCCATCCTGTGGTTTTTCTCTTTCCAAAAGTCATCTCATTAACATAAACTCAGATGTGGCTAAAGGGGCTTGTCATCTTAATTACTCTTACCACTCAGGAAATTTCAAGGGTTTTAGGAGCTGTGTACCAGGGGATGAAGAACAAATATATGTTTCTTATTATAAATCACAATATCACACCCACCCCTTTTTGTTCAATCTATAGATGACAAGATAAATCCTGATAGAAAAATCTCTACTTTGACATATGGAAATAATTTTTAAAGATCCTGTTTTACATGTTTAGAAGATGTGATTAAATGGTAGTGAGAACTTTCAAACCAATAAAGCTTATGGGCTGCATTATTCAAAGCAAAATAAATCCATATTTGCTGTGAACATTACAAGAACTTGAACAAACTAATGTGCACTTGGAAAACTAGATTCCCCCAAAACTAAAAGCAAAAAAAAAAAAAAAAAAACTTCTGAGAAAAAGGGGCACTGGAATTACGTACTTAGCAAGTTTAATACCAGAATAGTATAGCATGTTCACACACAGGGAATTTAAAAAGATATCTAGCATTAGCATATAGTAAGGCTCTAGCTGTCAGGGGTGTCATATTATGATAAATGCCACTTCAGATCTAGAGGTGATTTAAGTTTTCCCTACATTATCTAAAATAATTTCTGATATGCAACTGATTTAAGCTGTCTAAAGGTTTGAGATTATAACAATAATGCATTTGCTTCTGAGTTCTGACCACCTCCCCACACTGATTTTTACAATATCTGTTAAGTTCTGTGTTAATATTGTTATAGATATCTATAGATATCTTACAATACAACTCTCCTCCTGTAGGCTATGTCTGAATAAGACTAGAGCTTTTACAACATTATAGAAAAGATAAAAGTTTGTTTTTATTGTTGTATACTGACATTCAGTAAAAATTTTACTTACATTGAAGGTTTTCCCACAACTAACAGGACTCTGAAGTTTTTCTTTTTCTTTTTTTTTTGAGATGGAGTCACACTCTGTCGCCTAGGCTGGAGTGTATCTTGGCTCACTGCAACCTCCACCACCCAGGTTCAAGTGATTCTTATGCCTCAGCCTCTGGAATAGCTGGTACTACAGGCACATGCTACCATGCCCAGCTAATTTTTGTATTTTTTGGTAGAGACAGGGTTTCAACATATTGGCCAAGCAGAATTTTTAATTTTAGTAATGTCTGAGCTCTGAGTTAAACTTTCATTATAAAAACTGAATTAAAGTTTTCTCCACAGTGTGGTATTAGTGTTTTTTAAAAAATAGAGTCTTTCTCTGTTGCTCAGGCTGGAGTGCAATGGTGTGATCATAGCTCACTGCAGCCTCAAACTCCTGGGCTCAAGTGATGCTTCCACCTCTTCCTCCCAAAGTGCTGGGATTACAGGTGTGAGCCACCATGCCTGGCTCCAGTGTGGTTTTAATGTTGTGTAAGGGTTCAACACTGATTAAAACCTTTTTCGTACTCACCAATAATCAACAGCATTCATTAGATTTTTTCCTAGTATGGTATCTCTGGTACTGAATAGAGATGACGTATGCACTAAAGGTTTTCTCACATTCATCACATTTTGACTGTATTCCCCACAGTGGTCTTCCTCATGATTAGTAAGTTCAAAGAGTTGGCTAAAACTTCTGCTGTACTGAACATACTGGTGTTTCTCCCCAACATGGATTTTCTGGTGCTCAATTAGATCTGTGCATGTGCTAAAGGCTTTCCCACATGCATCACACTTACATGGCTTTTCACCTCACCAGTGTGTATTTTTCAATTATTAATGAGATCAGAGTGCCGACTAAAGCTTTTGCCACATTCATCACATGGATTTGGTTTCTCACCAGTGTGGATTCTCTAGTGTAGGGCTAAGCACTGACTGAAAGCCTTCCTGTACTCATTACATTTATATGGTTTTTCCCTAGTGTGTATTCTCTGATGTTTAATGAGATATGAGTTGTGACTGAACCTTTTGCTGCACTGTGTGCATGGATATGGTTTTTCTGCATTGTAGAGTCTCTGATGAAGAATAAGGTCAAAACTCTCACTGAAGGCTTTCCCACAACTATTACAATGATAAGGCTTTTCATAAGAGTGTACTCTCTGATGTTTAGTGAGGTCTGAGCTTTGACTGTATCTTTTATCACAATGATTCCATGCATATGGTTTCTCTCCAGTGTGTATTCTTTGATGCTTAACAAGATCTGGACCGTGACTAAAGCTTTTAGTACAATCCCTACAGGGATAAGGTTTCTCTCCAGTGTGGATTCTCTGATGAAAAATGAGGTTGGAGCTCTGACTAAAGGCTTTCCCACATTCATCACATTCATAGGGTTTCTCACCTGTATGAATTCTCTGATGTTTAACAAGATCTGATCTTTGACAAAACATTTTATTGCACTGATTACATGAGTAAGGCCTCTCTCCAGTCTGAATTCGTTGATGATTAATAAGATCTGAAAGTCTTCTGAAGGTTTTGCTACATTGATCACAGAAATAGGGTTTCTCTCCAATATGAATTCTCTGATGTAAAATAAGGACTGAGTTCTGATTAAAAGCTTTCCCATATTCATGACATTTATAGGATTTCTCTCCAGTGTGGACCCTTTGATGTTTAATAAAGTCTGAATTCTGACTGAAACTTTTGCCACACTGATTACATGGATATGGTTTCTTCCCATTGTGGATTCTCTGATGCAGAATAAGATCTGAGCTCTGACTGAAGGCTTTCCCACACACATCACATTTATATGGTTTCTCCCCATTGTGTATTCTTTGATGTTTTATCACATCAGAACTCCAACTAAAATATTTGTTACATGGTTATAAGCATAAGGTGTCTCTCCAGTATGGATTCTCTGATGTTTCACCAGATCTGAGCACTGGCTAAAACTTTTACTACAATGACTGCATTGATAAGGTTTTTCTCCTGTGTGGATTCTCTGATGTATAATGAGAATTGAGTTCTGACTGAAGGCTTTCCCACACTCATCACATTTATAAGGTTTCTCACTGGTGTGGACTCTCTGGTGTTTAATAAGGTCTGAGCTCCGATGGAAACTTTTAATACACAAATTACAAGGATAGGGTTTCTCCCCAGTATGATTTCTCTGATGCAGAACCAGGGCTGAGCTCACACTAAAGGCTTTTCCACACTTATCACATTCATAAGGTTTCTCAGAACGGGTTCTCTGATGCCTAAAAAGGCTTGTACTAAAAACAAAGTTTTGCCCACATTTGTCACAGTTTTGTGGTCTTTCTTTAAAGATGTTCTGATATTTTTCATTTAATTTATCCCCAAATTCACAGAATTCTCTGAGTTCAGAATCCTGGAGAACATTCTCTCTCAGACTGCTAGACTCTTCTGTCAATGGTTCAATTTTTGCTGTAATTTCCTCCTCTGAAGCTGGCTTTCCAATCTTGGTCTTGGTCTCACCATCTGGAACAATAAACAAAATCCAAATGGAATGTGTTCCCTATACTGTAAGAAAATTTCAGTTGACACAGATCAGTATTTACCTATATTATCACAGTATGAGTGTTTCAAAAAATGAACTTTACCCTCTGAGAGGAAACCTAGAAAGATTCAACAAGTAATGGATCACATTAAACATTTATACAAGTGATATACCATATATGCTCTGTATGTTTGTCAGCTTGGGCAACATGGTAAAACCCTGTCTTTACAAAAATATAAAAATTACCTGGGTGTGGTGGCACACCCCTGTAGTCCCAGCTACTTGGAGAGCTGAGGTAGGAGAATCTCTTGAGCCTAGGAGGTTGAGGCTGCAGTGAGCCATGATCTCACCATGGCATTCCAGGCTGGCAATAGAGCAAGATCCTGTCTCCAAAAACAAATGAACAAACAAGTAAAACAAAAGTGTTCGAAATAGATATCACAGGCCAGGTGCAGTGGCTTACATCTGTAATTCCAGCACATTAGGAGAATGAGGTGGGCAGATCACAAGGTCAAGAGATCAAGACCATCCTGGCCAAGATGGTGAAACCCCATCTCTACTAAAAACAAAAAAATTAGCTGGGCGTGGTGGTATGCGCCTATAGTCTCAGTTACTTGGGAGACAAGGCAGGAGAATCACTTGAACCCAGGAGGCAGAGGTTGCAGTGAGCTGAGATCACTCCATTACACTCCAGCCTGGTGAAAGAGTTGGGATTCCATCTTAAAAAAAAAAAAGTAGCTATCTTAATGACAAAAATGAACCCCAACTTTTTCCTCACGCTATACACAAAAATTAATTAGAAATGTAACATAAATCCAAACATTAAAGCTAAAAGTATACAATTTCTAGAAGAAAGCAGATTACTATAATTTGGGGACAGACAAGGGTATTAGCACACCAAAAGCATGAATCATAAAAGTTAAACTTCATGAAAATTATAAACTTCTATTCTTCAAAAGACATTACTAAGAAAAAAAATCAAGCTACAGATGGGGAGAAAATATTCACAAAGCATATATTTGATGATTGTATATTGTAGATATACAAAGAACTTTTACACCTCAAAAATATACAACTCAAAAGAACAAAAGATTAGAATAGATAGTTCACAAAATAAGTTATATGAATGGTTAGTAAGCATATGACAAAATGTTCAGCATCATTAATTATCAGGGAAATACAAATTCAACCTCAAGGAGCTACTGGTAAATAACCATTACTAACAATACAACTAACATACTAAAGGCCAAATACTGACTAGTCTGTGGACCAACTGACACTCTCAAACATCGCTGGTGAAAATACAAGATGGTATAGCTATTTTAGGAAATTCTGGGAGCTTTTAATAAAGTTAAACATATTCTTATCATGTAACCCAGCAATTCTACTTCTAGATATTAATATTTACCCAAGAGAAATGAAAACATATATCCATAAGAGGACTTGTACACAAATGTTTAGAGCAGCTTTATTAATAAAACAGCCAGAGATTTAAATAATACAAATGTTCATCATCAAGTGAATCAATAAACAAATTGTGATATAGACATACAATTGAGTATTTAGCAATAAAAAAGTATTACTGATAAAGCAACAATATGGATGAATCTCAAAAACATTATGCTGAACTAAAGAAGGCAGGCAAGTATGATTCCATTTATATGAAATGTTAGAGAAGCCAAATCAAATATGCAGTGACAGAAAGCATATCAATGGTTGCCTAGGGATGGGGAGGGACTGGAAGGAAACTGGGAGAAAGGTGTTGATATAAAGAGTCTATGTTTTGCTTGTGGGGATAGTGGACATGGTGTATATACATGTCAAAACTCATCTAAAGCAAGCTGGGTATGGTGGCTCACACCTGTAATCCCAGCACTTAGGAAGGCTGAGGTGGTTGGATCGCTCGATTCCAGGAGTTTGAGACTAGCCCCAGCAACATAGCAAGATTTTGTCACCACAAAATAAAAGAAATTAGTTTTGCATGGTGATGTGCGCCTATAATCCAGGTATGACAGGAGAGAGGCTGAGGCGAGAGAGCGATTGAGCCTGGGAAGTTAAGGTTGCAGTGAGCTGTGATTGCGCCACTGCACACCAGCTGGGGTGACAGAGGGAGACTCTATTCTCATCCAACACCTCAACTAAATGCACAATTAAAAGGAGTATGTTTTATTGTTTATAAATTATGCCTGACTAAAGTAGATTTAATAAAAGTCAGTAAAAATATATTAGACAGCGGGCCGGGCGCGCTGGCTCACACCTGTAATCCCAGCACTTTGGGAGGCCAAGGCGGGTGGATCACGAGGTCAAGGGATTGAGACCATCCTGGTCAACATGGTGAAACCCCGTCTCTACTAAAAATACAAAAAATTAGCTGGGCATGGTGGCGCGTGCCTGTAATCCCAGCTACTCAGGAGGCTGAGGAAGGAGAATTGCCTGAACCCAGGAGGTGGAGGCTGTGGTGAGCTGAGATCGCACCATTGCACTCCAGCCTGGGTAACAAGAGCAAAACTCCGTCTCAAAAAAAAAAAAAAAAAAAAAAATATATATATATATATACATATATATATATATTAGACAGCAACAACACAAAAAACCTTGACCTTATAGTCCATCCTTCTATTGCTTCATTTGTTTCCCTTTATAGCAATTCTCCTTAAAAAACTTTACTTTCGGCCGTGTGCGGTGGCTCAAGCCTGTAATCCCAGCACTTTGGGAGGCCGAGGCGGGTGGATCACAAGGTCAGGAGATCGACACCATCCTGGTCAACATGGTGAAACCCCGTCTCTACTAAAACTACAAAAAATTAGCTGGGCATGGTGGCGCGTGCCTGTGATCCCAGCTACTCAGGAGGCTGAGGCAGGAGAATTGCCTGAACCCAGAAGGCGGAGGGTGCAGTGAGCCGAGATCGCGCCATTGCACTCCAGCCTGGATAACAAGCGCGAAACTCCGTCTCAAAAAAAAAAACAAACAAACAAAAAAAAAACTTTACTTTCTCATTTCTCTATTTTATTAAGTATTTTAGATACAAAAATAGGTATATATCTATATGTATATATGTACAATTAAAAAATGAATAATAATACAACAAACAGAATTGAACCTTCCATTCAACTTAAAAAAGAAATTACCAGAAAGTTTCTGACATGGTAGAATTCTACTCTGCATGCTTCCCTGATCCTGTCTTCTTCCTCCAATCCCTTTCCCCCATCTACCTTTGTAATCACTGTGCTAAATTTTGTGTTTATCCTTCTCTGGGTTTCTTCAGAGCTTTACCAAATATTTTTATCTTTAAAAAAATATTATTTGGTTTTGCATGTGTTATAGATTGGACTTGTGCTTGTGCACTGCTCCCTGCTCCCCCACAACCATCCCCAATTCATATGCTGAACCCCTAACTCCTATTGTCACTATATTTGGAGAGAGGGCCCTTAGGAAGGTAATTAAGGTTAAATGAGGTCACAGGGTAGGGCTCTAATCCAGTAAGACTGGTGTTCTCAGGAGAAGATGAAGAGGCAGGCCTGTGGACAACAGCCACTTCCCACATGCAGAGAAAAGTCATATGCAAGCCATGGAGAGAGGCCTCAGGAGAAACCAACTCTGCTGGTCCCTTGATTTTGGACTTTCAGCCTCCAGGACTGTGAGAAAACAAATTTCTGTTGTTTTAGCCATCCAGTAGATGAATATTTTGTTATGGTAGCACTAACAGACTAATATAGGATGTTTTTGAAATTTATATATTTATGGAATTATATATGTATTCTGTGGCTTGCTTTGCTTGCTCAACATTATGCCTGGAAGATCCACCCATGTTAATGTGTGTAGCTGTAGTCCATTCATGTTCACACTACTACAGTGTAACATACACCACAACTTATTTACCTATTCTCCTTCAATAAACAACATTTTGCTATTATTAACAATGCTATTATAAATATGCTTGTATATCTATCTTGATACACATATGCAAATGTTCCTCTAGGTTATATAAACTATAAGTTATATCAAGTTTATATAACTTTGACTTGTTTGGGTTTCAAGTAGGTATTTCCAAAGTAGCTGAACCAATTTAGACTTCCATCAGGAGTATGTATGAAGAGTTCACTGTTCTATGCTGTAACAAACATTTAGTCTATTCTCTTTTCAGTCCATTGTCATCGGGCTTTTATCTCCAAAACTCCATCAAAACTGTAAAGTCCCTCATAGGCTCTATCGTGACAAATCCAATGGTCAATTCTCAGTCTTATTCTGGATTGTTTTGAATAGTTGATTATTTTCTTCTTGAAACGCTTCTAACTTACCTTTCTCATCATCCTGTATAAAGAACCCCAATGACTTCCTATTACACTGGGAATAAAATTCTAAGTCCTCACTACGGTTTACAATGTTCCATATGATCTGGTCCCTTTCTTTCTCTCTGCCCTCATTTCATTCCACTGCCACCCCTCATACCTGTCCACCCTGGGCTCCCTCTGTTCCTGATACATATAGGAGCTTCTGGCATTTGCTACTCCCTCTTCTTGGAACACTCTCAGATAGTCATATGGCTTGTTTTCTCACTTCATTTATAGCTCTACCCAAACGTTACCATTGCAGGGAGGTGCAAGACCTGCAGCGCCTCTGCATTTTTGGGTTAACAGACATCACAGCTCAGTGAGCTGAAATGACCAATTTAATTAACCTGAAAGGTTGCTACTTTTGAGTGAGACTCTTACTACCCAGGATAACTAGTGGTATTGGAAGTGCCGGTGGCAGTCATGGATGCTGTATAGAGCCTTGCACAAGCCTCCATAGAGGACCACCCTGGAGGAAGGCTACATCTTATTCTGTCAGCAACACTTTTCTATAAGAAAAGCAGATCCTGGCTTACTATTGGGCACTGATAGAGATTTCACACTTGAACACAGAGCACCAAATGACTACACATTACTGACTGCTCATTGTGTATCGGTTGTTATTTATTCCACCAAATCACACACAAATCAACATTCCATTGAAAACAAAAGTTTAGAAGACAAGTAAACTCCATACACAAGTGACGAGGATTCCATAGTACCTGGTCCTATTGCTTCACTACCTCTCCCCCTCAGTTTATATTCATGATTTCATGGGAATTCCCTATTACCAGTTAACAGCTGCGGAAAAATTATAGAACTGGTTTACAGATGGGGAAGCACCAGCCAAAAGTAAATAGCTTTCACTTACATCCCTACTCAGAAGTGGCCTCAGACACACTGGTGAAGGCAAATCCTCCCAAGGGGCAGAATTTCACATATGTACCTACCTGTCCACTTTTCATCAAAGGTAACATAGTCTAAGATATATGTTTATATTGATTCATGGGTAGTGACTAATGGGTTATTTGATTATTTAGGTACCTGGAAAGAACAAGATTGGAGGACTAGAAGCAAAGATTCTGGGGGAAAAGTATGAGGATGGAATTCCCAGAATGGGCAATGAATATGAATATCTTTGTGTCCCATGTGAATCCTCACCAAAGAGTATCCACTGTGGAAAAGCCTTTCCATCAGACAGACATGGTGATCTACTTTATGAATTTCAATGAGCTTCTTTTCCAATGCTTATCCAATAGGCTCATGACAAAGTAGTCATGGCAGTGGGAATGAAAACTCTACATGGGCTCAACAATATCGACCTCCCCTCCTGAAAGCTGATATGCCTAACACAACTGCTATGTGCCCAAGCAGCTAATGGCCAAGGCCAAAACCCAAGCCCCTAAAAAGGTACCATTCCCTGGAAATGGGGGCAGATTCACCACACTGAAACACTTCTATCAAAAAGAGAGCAGCGATTTGTTTATAAAATATTAAATACTTAGTCCAGATACAAATTTGCATTTACTTAAGATAAGGTTATGTTTATTACCAGATATTTGATACCAAGCTGCTTCCAAATAACTCATTTTTCAGGAAAGAAAGTATAGCAGTGAGTTCATATACATGTAATTCACAGGTCTTGCCATATGCCCCATCACCTGGAAATATGCAGAATGATCTGCTAAGGCTCAGTTATGGTGCCACCTAGCCAACAACACAACACCCTGTAAATCTGGGGTGTGGTCATATAGATGCAAGACATGCCTTCAACCAAAGGACAATAAATATTGTTTTTTTTCTCCATGGCCAGAATACATACACAGGTACAGGAACCAAGGGTGGAGGAGGAGTGAGAATGGTCCTCTTATTAGAGACCTAATAATTCGCGTGTATTATTTTTGCTTACTATCCCTGTAATTGTGGGCATGCTGAGTTTGAAGTTCTAGTGCTCAAAGAAGAAATGTTTCCACCATGGAACAAAGTCATGATTTTGTTAAATTCAAAGATGAAACTGTCTCCTGTTCATTTTGGGATCCTCATGCTGCTCAACCAACATGGAAGGGATCACTTTACTGGCTAGGATAACTGATCCCAATTACCAAGGTGGAAATTGGTTGCTGCTACATAGAAGGGCAAGAAAGAGTATGTCTGGAACACAAGGATTCACTGGGATATGTCTTAGTCCTCTCATGTCTAATGGGCCTAGTCAATAGTACACTGAAGCAGCCTGAAAGAAGCAGGATTACTGAGGACTCAGATCATCCAGGAAAGCACTGAGATGCTGGCAGAGAGCAAGGAAGATATAAAATGCATAATGGAAGAAGATTGTTAGGATTATCAGCTTAGACTTTGTGAACAGCAAAAACTGGAGCTATAATTATGTCTTTTTCCCCTATCCCTCACCATTTTATATGAAGAGCACTAGCGGCAGTTAAGTTCCAGGCTTCAGATGGGAATATGATTTAATTATGTCAACCTGAAATGAAATGACAGCTTAAGGGACTCTGTTTTTCTGCTATGTTGGGGTGGATATTGCAGGATAAAAGTGATAGACTATAATGAATATTCTCCTTTCACCCCTCCAGATCTACTCTTCACCCTGCTCTGGGCCCCAGGAGATTGATGTTGATGGACGGCATCACCTGGGGTTCCATGCCATTTGGTATGCAAGTGGGATTTGGACCAAAGTGGGAAAATAGTAGAGTGACTAACTGTACTGGTTTGCCTAAAACTTAAGGGGCCATTGCAGCTTTCAGTGCTAAATTCCAGGCAAATTGGGATGAACTGATCATCCTGGCTGTCTCCTTGCTGGGCCAGTAGCTGAGCCTTTTAGCAAAAGCCAGAGCTCCCATCAGGCGGCTAAATTCTACAGCTATCCTTTCCAGGACCTGGTAATCAATCTTTCCCCTTATCCCTGAAGATCTACAGGTAGTAACTGCTTCCCGGTGTTGTTTGACTCAAGACTGTTCTGCATCCCTTGCGGATTTCTGTAATCATCCCCATTCTCTTCACGAAATTTCGAATTACTGCACTAGAATGAGCCATCTGTTTCCTGCTAGAATCCTGACTGATATATCCTGGTTTAATTTCTTCATAACCATTATCATTATCTGATAATATAATGAACATTCATTTATTTTCTCCTTCCCTCCACTAGCATGTAAGCACTTCGACAGCAAAGGCCTTGTGTGCTCAGTTCACTGCTATATCACGAGCACTTAGTACAGTTATTGGTACAGGGCAAAGCCTTAATAACTAATCATCATATTATATGGCTAGTAATTAATAAGGTATGATCTTATTAACAAACATTTATCAATAACAAATATTTGGTGAATTCATTAGAAAAATGATTTTAAGGATATATGAATGTTAGCAGTAGCTATTTCTAGAGTGTGAAGCTGAAGGCTATTTAAATTTTGTTTTGTGTTCTCCTATACTTTACAAATTGACTTTAGTATAACTGTATTACTCTATAATAAAATGTTATTTTATACACATTCTAAGAGACATAAACACAAGGACTAAGTATATCAATTCATGTAAACCTGCAAGGAGGAAGTGCAGTTCTGCAGTGATTCTCAGGAAAGATAAGTGCTAGATGTCTTAAAATAGATTAAGGAAGGACAAGTTCTAGATGCAGGAGAGAAAAACTAAAAAAATTAATAAAGATGCTCTAAGACTAAAAAGAAGCAGATGATCTCGAGTGAAAAAAGGGACAATGGAAGGTGATTCAGGAAAAACAGCAGCAATGAGAGGACAAACCAAAAAGAAGTAACATATGATGTGGAAATGAGACCCTACAGAACATATGAACAAAGCTGAGATCAAAATTCTTACATAAAATAATAGTGGCTACCAATTATAAAGAATTTTCTGTAAGCAAAGTCTGTGCTCAGAGTTTTATATTAGGATTTTCTTTATAGTTTTTTACTGGTGCTTTTTAGAGACAGGATTTTACTCTGTCACCCAGGCTGGAGTGCAGTGGTGCACTGCTGTCTCTGAACTCCTGGGTTCAAGCAATCCTCCCACCTCAGCCTCCCAAATTGCTGGGACTAGAGGTACCACCATGCCTGGCTATTATGTAAATTTTTATAGAAATGGGGTCTCACTTTGTTGCTCAGGCTTGCCCTGAACTCCTGGCTTCAAGTATTCCTCCTGCCTCAGTCTCCCAAAGTGTTGGGATTACAGGCATGAGCCACTGCAACTGGCCTGTTGTAGTATTAATGTACCCCAGTGAATCCTATCTCCCAGTACATATATCCTTGTGTAGTCTCCTTCTACAATGACTTTAGAACTGGTCATATGACCTGCTTTGGTCAATGAGACATTAACAGATGAAACACAAACATAGGTATGAAAAAGTGCTATATACTGGAGAGCTTGCCTTCTCTTTGACTGGAAACAAGCTGTCCTGTGAAAAAGTCCAGAGTTGCCTGCTAAAGACATGTGGACTCAAGTCATAGCTAGCACCAACGGTCAGACATTGTGACAATGTGACTGAGACCATCTTAGACCCTGGCCCCAGTATAGCCAGCCCTGAGATGACCATATAAGTAACCCAAGAAAAGAACAAGAGAAAAAAAAAATTGCCCAGGTGAACCCAGCTCAAGTTGATGACCTACAGAACCATAAGAAATAAGGTTTAAAAAGTTTGATGTTTTAGGTCACTAAATTTTGGGGTTCTTTATTCTGGGGTAATATAGAGATACAAATGTCAAAATACCTTCAAGGTATGACTTACTATATACACTTGTAAAGTGAGGAAACAGAATCATAAAATATATGAGTAACTTACTGTAGCTAGTTAAGCGACAAAACTACTATTGAATCCAGGTTGTCAAGACTCCAGAACTTTTAACTATGCCCCTACAGTAGATAAGAAAAATGACCAAACCTAACAGATTGGTAATGAGGTCATTATGCAGGGGAAAATGAATGACTTTGGGGTCTCAAAAAAGTGGAGGGAGCTGCATGAGAATTTGATTGCCAGATTTTGAAATAAAGTCATGTGACTATGCCTGGTGCACTAAAGAGGTAATACTGCCTAACCGAGTTAAGGGGGATCATTCGAAGACACTAGCACAGGTGACACCCCGTCATCCTCCCCACTCTGCCAAAACCACCAAGAAAGATATAATACCCTGATGCTCACCTGACAGAAGGTGATGTTCCTGAGATTCATAATTGAACTGGATCTCCATGGGCTGCAACTGGATACCTCACAGAGCAAGTGGAGAATTACCATTTCCTCCGTAAGCTTTTCTTGTCCACTTAAAGGTCTGGGACCTGGAGGCAACTGGGCACCACTGGGCTTGGGAGGGAATCAATGTGCTGACTAGAGCTGTAATATCTGAAACAGACCACCAAAAAATCCTCAAGATATAAAAGGAGAAAACAAAATCTCATTTGACTTCCAGCTGCTTTTCTCTCAGAATGTATTAGGCTTCCTCCCCATAATCCAAGAGCCAGAGATTACCCCACTTAAGACACACATTCCCCATTCGAAGTCTAGAGATGTTCAAACAAAATTACAGGTTAATACTACAAAAATAAATGTATAACTGGAAAGATAGCGCTGGGGAGGGAATTTTACAATGGATTCTAGTGACAAACACTAAGATATTCGCTGCCCTTCGTATCAAAAAATGACACTATTGATCATTTTTCTTCCCCTCTTTTGCTTTTTCCAACACTCACAAATTCAGGTGGCTCTTTCCCAGTACGGTCGGCTGATTCGCGTGGATGCACCACGCTTGGTGACTCCACCCACCCCACAGAGTTTCCGGCATTCGTTTGGTTGCACCCAAGACCAGCAGGGCTTACTGGGGACCAACCGAACACTGGGCCGAGAACCGATAGGCTCTACGTGTCTGGAAGCGATCCCGGCGGCCATCACTCTCCAAGGTCTCGAGAAACCGCGCACAGTTTCCTGGCTGTGAGACCGCTTGTTAGGCAGTATCACCCCTAATTCCTGGGCTATCCGCGAGCCAACGTCACCGTACCTCGATGTGGTCTCCGGACCGCTGTGAAACTTCATAGCCGGCCAACCCGCCTTTGCCCTGTCCGCTCTAGGAATCTGTGCTCAGCTCTATGGCGCATCGTAGCGCAGGCGCAGGGCGGCGGTGGGGCACCGGGTGGGGGAGGGTTGCCGAGAATTAACCCTGAACTGCCGCGAGCTGCCCCTAGCGGTGCCTTAGCCAGGGACGTGCTTGGCTAGCGACAGATCTCTTGCTGCTCTGTCTGCCGGTTCTTGACGTGAATGTCGGAATCCATTATCTTTCGGGAAAACTCTCTGGGGCAGGGTAGGTTTTCTGACTACATACGAGTTCTTAATTAGTTATCATTTTAAAAATAATCACCCCTCTCCCTGTCGCTTATCTGATTCGTAGCTGTGCATTCATTCTAACTTTCTTCCTGCCTTCTCTGTTTTTTTGCACCCCCAGAAGAGTGGCGCGCGTCAGAATCACCTGGAGACCTTGTTAAAATACTGAATGCTACCCCGAACTCCTGAGTTGCTGATTTAGTAGTGGGGGGAGGCGGCGGTGGGAGCCCAGGTTCTCAGGTGATCCTGAAGCTGTTGGTCCTGGGATCACATATTGAGAACCACTGCCCAATAAATAAATGATGCTCAGTAATTAATCCCTGCATTAACGAAGAGCTGGATTTTTATCTACTTTGCAATCTAGAAAGGGCATGAGGTCTATTTAAGATTTGCTTGCTAGTACAATTCTCATTGATCAGGGTGATAAGGACCCGAAATGGAGGGTGTGGGGTAATCAGGGTAGGAAAGGATATTGCTGTGTTCATGGAAATATTTTGGGAAATGAGGAGTTGGGATCTTATTTCCGGTTTGAGACCAATGTGACGTGACTTAGGTTAAGCTGTCGGGTGGGGAAAGGAATAGCTTTGAGAAAATGGTGGCTGGCTAAGTCCTAGTTGAGGTGGAAGAAGAGGGCTTCCTGGCCCAGCCCAAGTCCCTGTTGGGAAATGTGAAGTTTAGGGATGTATGAATGAGACCTTAATAGAACCGTAAGGGGAAAGAGAGGTGGGAACTTGAGTCCAGCCCTCCCAAGTAGGGAGTGCAGATACTTAAAAAACAAAAACAAACAAACAAACAAAAAAAGAGCTTTATTTTTGGCCGGGTGTAGTGGCTCACGCCTGTAATCCCAGTACTTTGGGAGGCTGAGGCAGGCAGAATACCCGTGGTCAGGAGTTCGAGACCAGGCTGGCCAACATGGTGAAACCCCCGTCTCTACCAAAAATACAAAAATTAGCTAGATGTGTGGTGTGCTAATTCCAGCTACTTGGGAGGCTGAGACAGGAGAAACGCTTGAACCCAGGAGGCACAGGTTGCAGTGAGCCCAGATGGTGCCACTGCACTCCAGCCTGGGCGACAGAGCGAGACTCTGTCTCAAAAAAAAAAATCCCCCAAAAAACAAAAACAAAACAGATTTGTTGAGGTATAACTGACAAATTGCAAATATTTAAAGGCTATAATCTGATGAGTTTTGTTAAACGGATACAGCTGTGAAGCTATCACTACAATCAAAGCACATCTAAACCCCAGAAGTTTCCTACTACCCTTTGGTAATGCCTCTCTCTCAACACCCCATCTGCTAGTCAGCTGTTACTAGAGATTTGTTTGCATTTTCTAGAGATTTATTTAAATGGAATCATACAGAATATACTTTTTTTTTGTCAGACATATCAACTAAGCATTTATTTTGAGATTTATCTATATTGCTGTATCAATAGTTAATTTTTGTTCCTGAATAATATTCTATTGTATGCATATACCGCAATTTGTTAATCCAATCACCAGTTCATGGGCATTTCGGTTATTCCAAGTTTTAATTTATTTTACAAATAAAGCTAAGAACATTCCTATACACATCTTTATATGGACACACGCTTTTCCCCCCTCTCTCGTGATAGCTATACATTTAATGCTTTTAAGAAACTGCCACACACTGTTTTTCAGAGTAGCTGTATCATTTTGCATTCATATGAGTACATGAGAGTTCCTGTTCCTTTACATCCTTGCCAACTCACTATTTATCTTACTGTGGTTTCAATTTGCATTTCCATACTGACTAATAATAGCATTTTGTAATGTGCTTATATGCCATCTGTATATATTCTTTGGTAAAGTATCTATACAAATCTTTTGTCTGTTCTGGACACCAGTCTTTTGTTCAAATATATGCTTTGTGGGCAGGCGCCATGGCTCAAGCCTGTAATCCCTGCACTTTGGTAGGCTGAGGCGGATGGATGGCTTGAGTCCAGGAGTTGGAGACCAGCCTGGGCAACGTGTCAAAACCCTTTCTCTACCCAAAATACAAAAATTGTTGGATGTGGTGGTGGGTGCCTGTGGTCCCAGTTACTGGGGAGGCTGAGATGGGAGGATCACTTGAGCCCAGAAGGTGGAGCTTGCAGTGAGTGGTGATCATGCCACTGTACTCCAGCCTGGGCAACAAAGTAGGACCCTGTCATACACACACACACACACACACACACACACACACACACACACACACAAATTCTTTGCATCTATATCGTGCCTTTCTGTTATAACAGTTTTCTTTCTGTTAATAGTATTTTTTGAACAGCATCAATTTTAAGTTTTGATGAAGCACAGTTTATCAATTGGCTCTTTTATGGATCATGCTTTTGATATGATATTTAAGGAATCTTTGCCTAAAATAAGGTCACTAAGATTTCTCGCAGGAGTTTTAGGTTTTACATTTTGGTCTCTGATCCATCTTGAATTAATATTTTTGTATCCATATAACTCTGAGATTTAGGGTAAAGTTGTTATTATTATATTTTTTGGTACATGGATATTCACTTGTTCTGTGCCATTTCTTTCTCCTCTGGGTTTTCTTTAAGATTTGTCAAAAGTCAATTATCCATATATGTATGGGTCTACTTCTGGGCTATTTTTCATTAATCTTCTTGTCTGTCTTTAGTCCAATACCATGCTTGATTACTCTGGCTTTATAATAAGGCTTGAAATAAGGTAATGTGAAACCTCTAATTTTGTTGTTTTGGTTATTCTAGGTCCATTGCATTTCTATATCAATTTTTGAATTAGTTGTCAACTTCTACCAAGAAGCTAGCTGAGATTTTGATTGGGATTGGATTGAATCTGCAGATCAATTTGGGGAGAATTGACATGTTAAAGCAATATTTAGTCATCTGATCCATGAACACAATATTTTTCTCAATTTATTTAGGTCTTCCTTAATATCTCTCACCAATATTTCATAGTTCTTTTTAACATTATACAGATCTTTCATAACTTTTGACAGATCTATTACGAAGTATTTAATATATTTTGATGCTATTGTATTTTTCTTTTAATTCTGATTGTTGGCAATATAGAGAAATGCAATTATTGATTATTGTATATTAATCTTGTATCCTGCAACTTTGTTGAATTCGCATATTAGTCTAGTAGCTTTTTTTGTAGATTCTATCAGATATTCTACATACAAGATCAGTTTTACTCCTTCCTTTCCAATTTGGATGCCTTTCTTATTTTCAGTGCAATAAAGCAGGAAAAGGGTGGTGGGGAAAGGCATTCAAATTGGAAAAGAAGAAGTAAAATTGATCTTTATGTATATCAATGTTCAGTAGAAATGAAGAAAGTGGAAATCTTTGTCTTTTTTCCAATCTTAAGTGAAGATCTTTCTCTTTTTTTAAAGTATTAAGTATCCTGTCTTTCTCTGTTAGCTGGTTGATACCCTTTATCAGATTGAGGAAGTTTTTTTCTAATTCTAGTTTGGTGGGAATTTATATCAGGAATGTAGGATGTGGGTGGATTTTGTCAAATGTCTTTTCTATATCTTTTGAGAAGACAGTTTCTTAATGTGGTAATTTACAATGATTGATTTTTGAACATGCTGAGAAATTTCCAAATCATCAAGTGATTTTTGCTGAACAATTTCCTGCATCCCCCCACCTCCTTTGCGCAGCTTTAGCCACCCAAGATGTGGCTGTGTGGACCTGGGCATCTCGGTACTCTAGGGGCCTGGGAAGGCTCCCCTACCTCAGCAGGCTTGAAGGTATCTGCTTTAGCTGCCTGGCCTCTCCCTGCTCCCGGTGGCTGCTCCGATCTAGGAGTAAGACTGGGGCCGAGCCAGGGTGCTTTTGCAGCCCAGCCAGTTGTGCGCATACTTGGGGCAGTGCTGATATGCCATTCCCCTGCCACCTCAGCCCCATCTAGACTTTGGATGCTGACAAACACAAGAGGGAGGCTGAGGGAGGGCTGAGAGCAGTTCAGCACTGGCTTGCAGGTCCCTCTCCCCACAAACAGCCTGGGCACCATAAAAAGTGGTAGGAGGCAGACAGCCTCTGGGGCAGAAAGGGTCAGGTCCCCAGGGAAGCCTGGAAGAGTTTTGAAATTCTTAATGGAAAAAGCCTTGAACAGATTGTAGAAATAGGAGGACTAAAGGTGATTCTGATAAGGGCTCTGAAGGAAGTAAAGAGGACAGTAGAGAAAGCTACATTTTAGAGAATACATCTATTGCCACGAAGAGAATGCTGCTAGAAATATTGAACATTAAAGATACTTCTGGTGAGATCTCAGATGAAGGGAGGATGCATTAGAAAATAGAGAATAAGAAATCCTTGTTAGAAGTGGCAGAAACTTGGCTGAGTCATGCTGTGCTACTGGGTGGAAAGTAGAACTTGTAAGTAATAAATTTGAGTATTTAGCTGTGGATATTTCCAAGCAAACAGTAGAAGGTGTAGCTTTTTTCCTTCTTTCTTATGGTAAAATATGAGAGAAAAGATACACTGAGGAGGAAACTGTTCAGCAAAAATCACTTGATGATTTGGAAATTTCTCAGATAGCATGTTCTGTAGACAGCACTGGGACAAATGTTTTGGTGAAGAAATTAGGCATGTGATGTTGGGCATGGTGGCTCATGCCTGTAATCCTAGCACTTTGGGAGGCCGAGGCAGATGGATCACCTGAGGTCAGGAGTTTGAGACCAACCTAGCCAATTGGTGAAACCCCATCTCTACTAAAATACAAAATTAGCCCAGTGTGGTGGTACAAGCCTGTAATCCCAGCTACTCGGGAGGCTGAGGCAGGAGAATCGCTTGAATCTGGGAGGCAGA